TACGGCTACGACGACGACGACGAAGACTACGACGACGACTACTGCTGCTGCTGCTGCTGCTACTACTGGTACTTCTACTACTACTCCTACTCCTACTCCTACTCCTACTCCTACTGCTGCTGCTACTGCTACTACTGCTACTACTGCTACTACTGCTACTACTGCTACTACTGCTACTACTGCTACTACTACTACTACTACGACGACTACTACGACTATTGGTACTACTACTATACTTCTTCTTCTTCCACTACCACTACTGCTGCTGCCACCGCCACTGCCCCTGCCCCCTCCTGCTGCTGCTGCTGCTGCTACAGCTGCTGCTGCTGCTGCTGCTACTACTACTACGACGACGACGACTACTACTACGACGACGACTACCACTACTACCACTGCGAGTACTGCGAGTACTGCGGGACAGCTACGATTAGTGCTGCTAGTACTTAAAGTATTCCTTGCATTGCTAGTACTTCAAATACACTGCTGCTGTTTCTACGGCCACCGCTGCTAGGGCTGCTGCAACCCTAATGTTCGCCTGCGAGGAAAGCCCCTGCGACGACCACGACTTTTTAACTTTTTCTGCTGTCTCGACATGTCACGACGATGACCACAACCCTGCCTGCAACCTCCGTGATACTCGTACTTCTACCGCCGCCATAACCCCGACGACTAGTTGCATTCAGCCCTCAGCCTCTGGCGGGCCATACAGGCAGTTGGCGAAAAAGATTGTCGATGCTGCGACCGGCACGAAGATGGCCAAGTAGTACCTGTGTCCCCAACACCGCTTCGTCTGTAATTGCCAGCGCAAGCAGTTGGGCGCACAAGCCCACCCGGAATGACTTGCTGAAGAGCACGAAGAATCGATACACCGGAGGATAAAATCGAAGCAGCGTGGTGTACCTGAGAGCTTCGGGCAATGCACCCATCATCAAAGCTCCCAGCCCGCCCCCTCTCGCCTGACGATCAGAAGGAACACTAAGACTGCCTCACCTATGGCCGCCATTTCCTGCAGACGGCGTGTGCAGGTCGCTTCGGACAGTCAGCTGTACTTTGCACGCTTCAACTACATGTTTCTCAGAAGGTCTCCTCCCACGAAGCCCAGCGGCTGTAGGAAACGAAGTGCTGCAAGCAGGGCCAGATCAAGCTAAGCTCTCACGACTCGGATTGAGCTCCTACCTGGCTGTTGCTCGAACTCATGGGCTCCACGGGCTTCACTTTGCTGGAGCGCCAGTACCTGCCAGGGGAGACCCTACTTCAGCTGCACCTCTGAGCTCGTATACGGCGCACTGAAGCGCTATGAACAATCCGATGGAGGCCGCATCCAGCAGGCCTGCTGGTGAAAGCACCTGCCACAAGGGCACCAACCGACGAACATGGACATGGACCTGTGTGGCATTCGATAAGCATCGCTGAAAGGAACATACCGCAACCCAGAGAAGCCATCCCGCACGTAGTCCTCACACGTGCGCCAGACCTCGGTGAAACAAAGAACATCTCAGCAATCTTCAGCCAAGAGACATCGTCTTTGTGGCCTTGTAAAGACAAAGATAGCCGATGATGATGATCCAGCGGAAAATGTCCAAAACATCAGCCTGAAGCCAGACATGCGCACGACCGCCTTTGCTGTTACTTGATCAGCTGCTTCAATCGTAAGATTTACACGGTGATGTCACCAGAGGTCTTTGCCAGATGGAAGGGCAGCAGCACTGCCTCAACAGCCCCAGCCACGAGGAGGGACCACTTTGCAGCAGCGGAAGTCTGCGCAGCAAGAAACTTCACACCGGTCCAAGGGTCGGACAGTGAAGCGCGATGCGCCGGATGGAAAGATTTCAAGCAGCAAAACAGTTGACACGTATCCACCTGAGAATCTGTCTCATGTGCTTCCTCTATCAAGGTCTGGCTGAAGATTGGAGGTGATCGGTGAAGCTCATGTGGAAGACTGAGATACACGCCTGCATGGTAATTGGCAAGGGTGAACTCCACCTGCATAGCAATCGCGGCTGCTTCCATGGAGTGCAGCTTGCAAAGACTTCTTTGGTTTGTACCCCCTGCTCTGTGAGCAGAAGCTAAGCGCCACGACGGCCAGCATTCGTGTGTCGCCGGTAAGCCACTGTGGCCTCAGCAAACTAATCACTGGTAGCCAGTCTCTTTTGAGGGCGGTATATCGTAGCAGGGCCAGTAGCTGAGTCAGAGACCAAAGCCAATCCTGATTGGAGCCAGACGGCTGTAAGGAAACCCCAAACTAGAGATGGCAAGGGCAGACTCTCTGACTGCACTCTGAAAACTCACCCTGACTTGATGTGTCTTGCTCGGAACGAGGCTAATTCGCCCATCTTCGTCGTCACGTTGGCGAGGTTGGATGGGTTGATCGGGAACCAGAAGCTATATCCAGAGCCGCTGTACCTCACGAGCGCATGTCTCTCCTGTCGCTGCACTCTTGTCCCAAAGTCAACTCACTATTGGCTTGTAGATTCCCAAAGACTGCTTAGCTTGTCAGCTTCATTATGACTTTAATGGTGATAATCCAGACCACATCTCCACAAATAGCTGAACTCTGAGGAAGAGACAGAGCTCCGTTCTTCCCCCAGATTTCGTCCGTGGCCACTGTGGATTTGCTGAACCTGGCCAACTACTTGCGAGTCTTGGGGTGCTTGGTTGCGACGGCTTCTGTGATGCGAAGGCCGCAAGTGCCAAGTCGTGCTGAGGATTGCGACAAAGGATGCGCTGCACATACAGTACTGACAGCACGCTGCCCTGAAAAACATTCAAAAAGAAAAGCCACTTTGCCACGGAAACCAGGCGCACATCGTGGGATTTCCGGATACATTCATGAGGAGGTTCGCCAATTCTGCACATGGCAGGTCAAGTAATCAAGAGTGGCTCTTCGCATGGCAACTTCCTCTTTACGACATGACTGCAGTGTGGACATCCCACCTGGGAGCGCGTCATCGTCAAAGAGCAACTCCTGGTGGGCGAAGCGACTGGGACAATCCCTAGACAGGCCCCTAGGCTGCTTTTGGGACCTGCAGCTTCCAGTAAAAATACTCCAAACTTACCGACATGAACCAGCATCCATCGTGACGCTGTATGCTTGGGTGCACCCAATCAAAGTTTGCATGCAGAGCCAGATTCCGAGTGTCCTTCTCGTCCTGCATGGAGCTCGAGACCTGTGCAGCGTGGATGTCCCTTCCTTAATTAAGTCTACCTGTGGCCCGTGGCCGTAAGTACAGCTTCCCTCTCAATCAAGGGCAGATAGGGCAGCTTCTTTAGAGAGCTGAACGCAGCTTCACCCACGAATGAATCGTGCGGTCCTGCAGCCGCAACCCGCCTCGACATATCTGCAGCTCCGCGCGAAGGTGGCCGGAATCTGCCAAGCCCACAGGCGCTCTCGTCAGCTGAGCTGCACAGGCTGCGCAGGTCCCCCCGGCCTCGGGTCGAGTGCAGGTCTTCAAGGCCGCCTTCTGCACGCGGAAGCGTATGTCACCCACCTGAACGAGAGCCAAACCTAGGACTGGCTGGCCAGGGAGTCAAAAGCCACGATCCGCCCTGGGTGCCCCCCGCCGGCGTGTAGAACTTGCGTAGTGTGGACTGCGGGTTGAAGAGCTGATAGTCGAAGCACCTTCCAGACTTGCATAAATCTGACCGATTCTTCCTGTTCATACCCTGAAGAACTTGGCACCCTCGGAGGTATTGCTCTGCCGCTCCCACAGTCGAGACATCCTCCATCTCCAGAAAGATCTCAGATTGTAGCGAACGCTTGGCAAAGGATGTCGGTCGTGTCATGGCTCTGAGGACCTGACTCCCGTCGACGTCTCGTTCGGGATTCCCACCACCAGGGCATTCTCCACGCCAAACCTGCAGCGAAAGGGAATCACAACTACCTGGGCCTCGAGGGCCAAACGGATGCAAAGGTATTAAAACAGCTTGTTTCTCGCCTGAGGAGGTAGTTTTCAATCTCCGAGCGCAAGAAGAAGCACCTGTCCACGACTGCCACAGCGCAGGACAAGCCAAAGCTCGAGCTCTCAGCTCCGGACGCAATGCTGAAGATGATGAGGACTCCGAAGACGAGGAAGTCAGCTAACTGACGCATTGCGCAGCGGTTGGGGGTGCCACTACCAAGCCTGACCGTGGCGCGGGCTCTGGTCCTTAACCACTTCTGCATGTCGTGCTTCCTGCCATTGGCAATTTGCAAATCCATGAAGGTTGAGACAGCAAGCTTTGTCTCCGGGAAAGTCGAGGTCGGTGCCTGTTCCGCTTCTTCAGTAGCTTGTAGACCTTGGCTGGTTCGGGCGTCCCAGATTCGCACAAAGCCACCGCACGGAAGGCTGGGCCAAACAGTTCTAGAACTACACTGGCGCGCCGCTCGCGATTGCCATAAGGCGGAAGCAAGAACAAGGCCTTGAAAGCCAGAAGCCAACTACTTGGCAACTTCGTCGTCCGTCCGTCCGTCCGTCCGTCCGCATGCGTTGCTTGCGGGCGCATGGCTCAGACGGAATTGAATCGCGTAGATGGCTTCGCATGTTTGTTTCGCCGCATCAAAGACCGATCGACTTGGCCTAGAGTTCACCTACCTCTCTAACCCTCGTAAGCACGAGCCAGAACTTGGGCATGCAAAGAATGTCTAGTAGCGATCAGCATTCCCACACAAATGCTCCCTGCATAGCTGGTTACTGTGACAGTGGCCTTTGCTCTTGCAAGTTGCCCCTGCACGACCTCCCCTGAAAAGAAAAATCGCCGGTCTCGTCTCGAGTGCTCCTAGATAGACCAACCACAACAACACTCCTTGACTGTTTGGCACATTTCGGAAGCCGGAAGCTGTGAGGCTTTGTCCCCTGAGTTCCGGACACCTGGCCAGGTTTTGAGGGCTTCTACGAAGGGCTCGGTCACATGCTCGGCCTCATCTTTCCACAGGCTTGGGGCTTTAGCTGCGTCAGAAGAGGTTTAGATTAAGATCTGATGGTGCGGTTGTGCATGTCGTGCTGTGCACGGCATTGCCGTGAGCGAGCTGCTGAAGAGGGGATGCTGGTAAACGATGGCGGTTGGCTGCTACTGGCTGCTACTACTCCTACTACTACCACCACCGCTACTGCTAATACTGGAATGCAACTGCTACTGCAACTGCTACTGCTACTGCTGCTACTACTGCTGCTACTACTACTACTACTACTACTGCTACTACTACTGCTACTACTACTGCTACCACTACCACCACCGCTACTGCTAATACTGGAATGTTACTGCTACTGCAACTGCTACTGCTACTGTTACTACTACTACTACTACTACTACCACCACCGCTACTGCCAATACTGGAATGCTACTGCTACTGCA